CCCCCAATCGTACCCAAGTTCCCGAGCCGAGGCAACTTTGGTGATGACGGACACGTGGCCTTAGGCCACGAGTCAGGGTTTCCTAAATTTCACAAAAAATAAAATATTTAGGTGGCGACTCTGTATCTGGCAAAGCAGTCCATGTTTGGCACTTCTTTCAAAAAAAAAATCTGTTTTCTCAAAACGATTTGCCGGATTTGGACTCTTTGGTTCAGATTATGAACCGTGACAATTTGAGAGTCCAAACTTGTAGTGAGCCCAAAACGAACAGAACGGGACTCATTCCTCCCGGGGCGTTCGGGGGACGTCTACACTTTGGAAAAGAAATTTATACCCGTTTGTCATCATTGTGGAGTGAGTGGTTACATTAGGCCTCATTGCTTGAATTTGTATAAGGCTAACCATGGCAAAGATGGTGTTGTTTCTCGACAAGCTCAAAGGTCACAACATATGCACAAGCAGCGACAACATGAGCACAAACGGAACATTCAATGGGGTAAGCCAGCCACAAGATATCGAAAGGATGGTAATTCTATGTTTAGGTGTGATTTTTTTGGTAAATTAGGCCATCTTCGCCCTTATTGTTATGTGCTTAGTGGTTACGATTTGCTGAGAGAAAATTCAAATGATCAATAAGGTGGTCACTTTTCAAAAAATCATGATGGAATTTCTCATGCTAAGCCTAGATCGGTTTGGGTGAGAAAGGTTGATTTGAGATGAAAAATTTATGGTTTTGTACATATGATCTTACTTTTGTAGTTGTCTCTTTTGATCGTCTAGTCGTTCTTCTTTGAGTTTTTGAGTCTTTTTCTATGTTCTTGAGTCTGCTACATTTTTATCCAATTTTCAATCTCAAGGGGAGTACCTTAGAATGGTTGTGGGAAAAAGGAATTGTGTGGGCAAACTTGAATTTTGAACATATTGCTTTTGGCTTAATTGGTTTTGTGTTTCTGAACTCTTTGTTGTGAAAAACCTTGTTTTATAATTGCATGACATGTTTTCTTTTTGTAACTCATATCTCACTTGAATACTGGTGAACTTTGTCTCATTGTGTACATATATTTTGGGAAACCTACATGTTTATCTTTTGCTCATAGGAGTTCCTGAACCTTGTGTCGATTTTTCATTAATGTAACTTTTTCGGATTGACCATTATCGAGCTATCAATGTTTGATGAGAATATGCTGAAATGTTGATTTTGTGTTATGTTTAAGGAAAAGGGCTGCATAAGAGAGTGAATTATAGCTACCATGTTTCAGAGGATAAAATTCTTATCTCATTGGTTTTAGCTACCGCTCTTAGCAGTATGAAAGCCTCCTTCATTTTTTAAGAATGTTAACAATATAAAAAAAAAGTTAAAAAATAATGGAGAAGGAGGTGTTGGAAAATTGCTGGTATTGGCACTTTAAATCATACATTGAAAACTCAAGGTTTGAGTTCCGAAAAATTGTAATGCAGATTTTCGAAACTAAATGTTTAAAACGGAATGTTCATGGCATTATTAAATATGATGTTTTCCCTATTCACACAACACACTTACTTTATGTGAGAGTTTTGTTTACCGAATCTTACTTCTTTTTAAGTGAGTGTATTTAAAATCAAATGAACATTGCCATAAACTTCTAAAACTCTATTTTTCATGTATGATCCAAAGAGTGCTCGGTATTATTTCATTTCGAGCCTTGGACTATGTCTGAAAAGGAGCCCAGTCGCGTCCGCGGCACTTTTCTCACGGCTGTGGTCAGCATACTCGCGCCCGGAGTCACATTTCTCGTGCCTACGAGCGTTTTGGGTAAAATCCCTTATTTCTCACTTTAATAGCAACCGCGACCTAGTTTTTCACCTCTGGTTTGCCTATTCCTCCTCCTGTGCATCTAGGGTTTGGTTTCCTTGGGTTTTCATCAATTCCTGATGATTTCTAGGTAATTTCTTCATTTTTCCCTCTTGATTTCATGTTTTATTTTGTTGATTTGAGTTTTGATTTTGGTTTCAAGCCCTAGGTTTTTGCCCTCTTGTGTCTCTCTCTTGTGTTAATCAATTTTTGTTTCTTTCCTCCATGATTTATTCTCGTATTTAATCCCTAGAATTTCTTCTCTTTGATTTGAGTTAAGGGTTTGTGGTCCAAGTAATTTATTTTCTCCATATTGATGGTAGTGGCAAATTTATTCTTGTTAAGTATCTATTTTGTGTTTTTGTTGTCATTTTGCTTAGATCCCTAGATTTTAGTCTCATTTGATTTTCATATTTTTTTAGGCTTTGTGGTCCTAGAGTGTTTTTTCCTTATCTTTGTTAGGTGATACATTTCTTATTCGTTGGGTCTTTGGTATTTTTGTCTCCTCCGTAACTATAGTTTTGGAATTTTTGGGTGTCCATGGCTTCCTCTTCATCTAAAAAGAGAACCAAGCAAGCTGCAAAAAGGGAAAATTTTGGCTGTGTTTGGTGTGAGTTTCAAATCAAGTTTCCACCCTTATATTTGAATGCTATGTTTGGTTTGAGTTTTCAAATTATGATTCCAAATCAATTTCAAAACACATATTGAAAACATATTTGGTAAACCAGACAATTTTTAAATTTTTTGTCTACCCGGTCGTCTGCCTGGACATCATCCCGGATGTTCGACTGGTTGACCGGAACTAGGCCTGTCAACTAGTCAGATCCGAGTCGGATCCGTCAAAATCCGATTCGATCCGATTAACCATTAATCCAAATCCGAATCTGATTATTAAAAATCTAATTACATGTAATCCGATCCGATCCGTTTTAAACAAATATCTGATCCATATAATCCGATCCGATCCTTTTTCCCCTCTGTGTGTGTGGGGGGGGTTAGCAGCCATATAAAGTCAATAAAATACCAATTATAAAAAAAAAATTGTTCGTAACATCAGATTTTGAATACTTCTACTACTCATAAGATTATACAAAAAAAAAAAAAATTCAGCATCTAACACATTCAATGCTTTTTCTGGGGAAAAAAAAAAATGGACAGAACATAAGAAGGGGAGATGAATACAAAAAGCAAACAGATAAATCATTCAGTATCTAACTTATAAAAAAAAATGCACCTAATATTTTTTTTTTATCTAACTCATTCAAAGTTAAATCATGAAACTTAATATTTTTTTCACTATCTAGCTCATGAATACTAAACCATGGCAACCATAGACAAAAATAAAATAGTTATAATAGTTGACAATTGATTTATACATTTACACCCACATTTCACCACAAAAACAAAATAAAGTAATTAATGACAAATTATCCACAAGCTTCTCCTAAGTGAACTGTCTTAGACTTTGTTTGTATGCATTTAGCTGACTCCATCTCTTGCTCCATTAACACCATTATGAAGTCCTGCACTATTTCAGTCCTGCACAATTGAAATAGAAAATAGTTCAATTGAACTTGGGTTCAAGGACAAAACAAAAACAAACCCTTGTAATTCCAGTGAGATGATAGTAAAAAAGAAAAAAGAAAAAAGGTGTGTAGATAACTTCTATCACAATGCAAATGACATACCAAGTGATTCAATTCATCTATGTTACTACCTACCAATCTAGACTACGAAGGCTTCATGAACTTACCATTCACATGAAGTTACCATGCAGTATAACTCTCTTATTTTAGTATTTTCCTACTGAGATGTATGTTGGAAGAAAATAAGTAGTTATTTCTTTCAAATTCACTTGTCAGTTCTCACAAGCATTGTTTATTTGCCTGCATATTCTTTATGTTGACTATAGAAAAGCAACATTGCATCCTCTAATTCCTTCCCAAAACCTAAAAAAAGTTAACTATATTGTAAAGAGAATAGCTAAAAAATTAAGTTTTCCTTCTATGATGCGGTTTAGCCCCATTATCAGACAGAAGTCAGATGACATGGAAGCTTCCAATAGTGGAATTAACCATATTATAGCATTTTGTAACTAGAACCAAGGCATGTACTAAACTGATGTTCATAATGTCGACAAAGACTTGGCGTACAGAGATTTGTACTCCATTAAAAAAGTTGAAGCGGGGATAAAGACTAAACTAAAGGGTAATGCATATTTGTAATCCATTAAAAAAAAACCACATTGCTCTGGCTCGAGAATCAGTCACCCATTTGATTGTTTCTCAGGAAACAAATGTAAGAATTTGATAGCATTCTATCTATTCTGTTAAACTTGGAAAATCAAAAGTCATATATGATGTACAGGGAGCAAATATTCAGGCAAACCCGCACTCCTTTCTTCCAAGTTCCTACCAGTCCGATCGACCTGCGAGCACAACGGCGGTGAGCTACCCGGCGGTGTGTGGCCGGAAAACCCCTCTGACGATCAAGTTAGACACACACACAGGGATAGAGAGGAAGAGAGAGGAGGGTGTTGAGTGTTTGTCTCACCAAATGTCTTTTTTTGTTTTTTTAGCATGGGGGACGCAGACATGCTTATATACCTTCTGCGCCCCAAATCTACCCTCAGTGCTCTCTCGACACGTGGTACTGCTATCCCATCCGTCAACACAAATCTCGCTGTACATCACCTAACCCAACTGCCAGCCCACTCTGCTGGGAGCTCGGCAACCGGGGTACAGTATCACGGCCGCCGACATCCAGGCTGCGCTTCATGACCAAGTGTAGCAATAGCCGAGCTCCGTCCCTATCATGCTCGACTACATTCCGGTGAAGTCGAGCTCCAGAAAGGTCACGCCGATCAACCAAAGGCTTTCCTGCCGAGCTTCGGGCACGAGCTTCCCTGCCGAGCCAAAGGTGTATGCCTTCTGGCCGAGCAACTCAAGCTGCACGGTCACCACCGGTGCAAATAGTTCGGCCACGGGCCGAGCAGCCCCACCTCCAGGCAAATCTTAAGCTATCTCGGCCCAACACGCCCCTGGGCCTTCAACTTACACGGTTTTTATCTCGGCCCACTTCCGGCTCATAAATCTCCCTCTTAATTGCCCCTTAATTCCGTCCGCGCAAGCGTGACTAGGATTATTTATCCTGACCGGGGTAACACTTCCTCGGTCTTCGGTTTTGCAAGAGGTCAACCGAGCTAGTTTTCTTGCTCGGCTCCTTGATTCACTCGGTCGACGCCTCGTCTGGCCTTCCTATCTCTTCAACTCTAACGCTGCCATTAATGGGGGCACGTGTCAATACCTTCTTCCATTAATGGGGGCACGCTGCCCTCGAGCAGCCAACCCAACCGTCCCCTCAAATTTAAATTTGGGCGGCTTCTTCCCCTCTATAAACATGCCCCTTCTGGCTTCCTTTCATTCCTACTGCCTCTTTTCAAGCCTTCGATGTTTCAGAGCTCAAGCACCCCCAGTAAAACTTCGTCCCTGTCATTCCTTGCATTTGTGCTCGAAGAAGTAGGCCCTGCCCTCAACTGGTAAGTTCCTTGAACCTCGTTTTTGCTATTTCAGTCGGCATTTCACATATTGGGGCACTAAATTTGTAGGTTTTAGGACATAGGCACCCAAAACCGTCCCTAACCCTTCACTCTCCTTGCTGTTCTTCATTTTCTCTGATGAACACTGAGGATCTGGGGCGGACCGGGCTCCAGGTCTTCCTTTGATCCAAAAAATCATTCGGACCGAGCAAATAAGCAGTTTGTCCCAACCTTAGTAGAAACCGGGGTAACCAAATGACTTGGCCGTTCAACCGGGTTAACATCTGGTTCGCTTGAGCGACCGGCCTCCTTAGTTAGCCTTAATGACCGAGGTGGTTTGGCACTCTGCATGACCGAGCTAAAGTCAAGCACGCTTTGCGCGACCGCGCTCCCTCTTACACTTACCATCCTTTTCCTGCAGAATCCAAGGGGACCACAGACCATTATCGAGGCTCTCAACGACCGAGCAGCCATCAAGACACCAGTCTGTGCCAAACCACCTTGCCGAGCTGAACCAGTCAGCTGCACATGGGGCCCTTCCGCTTCCTTGTCGACACCCCGACTGCATTGGCCGTATTCCGGGAAGACTACGGCATCCCGGCAGATGTTCACCTAGAGCTCGCAGAGATTGAGACAACCCCTTGGGACAAATTAGACCAGTGCCCCTTCACCGTTCTTTCCATCGTTGAGGGAGGCCTCCGCTTTCCGGTCAACCCTCTGCTGACCGAATTCTTGCGCCGCACCGGGCTAGCACCCACACAAGTATCAACCAACACCTACCGAATAATCAACGGCATTCACGAGCTAAATAACCGGCTAGGGACCAACTTAGGTTTAACCGAGATACTGCGACAGTACACACTTGGGCACACGGGCGACGGCCTCGCCTATTACTTAAAAATTCGACCGGGCAAAGAAAAGATAGTGACCGGCACCCCAGACAAGGACTTACACGATGACGACTTTTTCTGGGTGTCCGGCAACTATGAAACGGCCGATGTACCGGGCTGGTTCATCAGCAATAATTTCGGTTCCACATGTAAGTCGTGCCAACTTGCTCGGTCGATTGCCTTTGTTCCATATTCTTTATTTTAACACTTCTCTTCTTTCCTTTGCAGCAATCCAAGCCTTACAAGCCAACTACCACTATCCCAACGAAGAAGCCATCAGGGTCGTGCTCTGTTATAGCAACCGGGATTGCAACGAGCTGCTCGGCTACACCCCAACCTACCGGTACTCTGCTCCACGCTGGAGTAAAGTCACAGACTTTCTCCGTGCTCCATCACCTTTTCCAGACCCAACACTACCGGACGTGCCCCTAATCCGGTTAACTGAGGCAGAAGAGATGGCAAAGAGAAGCCGCATTAAGAACCTACTCACAGCAACTTCCACCGAGATCCCGAGCATCCAAACCCGCCCAATTGCTGCCGGTCAATCCAGTGGGGCCGTGGTTGCCTTGGTTTCTCCGGCTGTCGGTCAAGCCAGCGGAGAGACACGCCGTGCTGGCAAAAGACCACGTGCGGACCCTTATGCCAAGCTAGTGAGTAAACTCAGCACCGAGCAACCTGCCATCACCGTCGACCCAACACCGGCATAGAGGCCCCAACTCAAACACCGGGGTAAAGACATCCCGGCAACTGCTTCTGTCAAGGGTGACAAAGGGCATCTGCTCACCTTTGACATTTCAAAAGCACTCCTTCTACCGAGCGACGTGGTTGGCAGCGACCACGTGCCAGACACCGGGTTGGTGAAATCCGTAGTGAAGTCCATGACCAGGGTAAGTCCCAACTTATACTTAAATTTTTACAAGTGTTTGCACGGTTTCTTTTCTAATCAAGCTTTCTTCTCGCAGGCCATCCAGAAGCAACACTTGGTCATGGAGAGAATTCATCGACTGCGGCAGAAGGCAAACGACACTGCCAGCCAAGTCCAAAGTCTTCAAACTGAGCTCGGCCGAGCAAAGTCTTCACTGCAGATTGCCAACACTGACAACACCAAGTTGCTCGGCCAGCTTCGCGACGCCGAGAAAAAACGGGATGAGCTCCAGGCCGAGCTAAACGCACTCAAAGAGTCAAGGGAGAAAGACTGCGAAGACGCCAACAACGCCGACTTTAAAGAGGCCGAGGACAGTTATAAGAAACAGGTCTTCGCCACCCAAGACATCCATTTCAAAGAAGGTTGGAAGTCTGCCTGCGAACAGCTCGGTCAAGGTCCTCATACCGACGTGTTTGCCTCTCCGCCAGCTATCTTCCTACCGACCTATCTCGTGCCATATGCCAACGACGTCTTCAGGGCATTGGAGGCTGAGGCCGAGGAAGGACTTGAAGGAGCAGCCAACGCAGATGTTGAGGGAGAGGACCGCCAAGAGCAGGAGCAGCCCGGCCAAACTGCAACCGGCGTCCGAGGTCAAAGCCCACCAATCAACCTGGAGGAAGCTGGCGACGAATTCACTAACCTTTCCTCCCTAGTGTAGTTTTCTTAGTTTTTCTTTCTTTTTGCTCAGCACATGTAACTGGGCTGTCTGCCCCACCTCTTGTACATATTTTTATCATCAATGAAAAAGCTCAATTTTCTTAAAGTGTTGGCACGGTCAGCTGAGTAAACTCAACCGGACAAAATACTTCGGCAACATTAACCGTCTTGCTTAACTTAACTAACAGGCAAAGGCATCTCGGTAGTAGATACAGCTGAGCACGTCAACTCTTTCAACCGGGGTAAATCATCTCGATTGAGAATACCTAGGTTGAGCAAAACATCAACCCTTTCAACCGGAGTAAATCATCTCGGTTGAAAATACCCAAGTTGAGCAAAACATCAACTCTTTCAACCGGGGTGAATCATCTCGGTTGAGAATACAAAAGTTGAGCAAAACATCAACCCTTTCAACCGGGGTGAATCATCTCGGTTGAGAATACAAAAGTTGAGCAAAACATCAACCCTTTCAACCGGAGTGAATCATCTCAGTTGGGAATACAAAAGTTGAGCAAAACATCAACCCTTTCAACTGGAGTGAATCATCTCGGCTGAGAATACCCAAGTTGAGCAAAACATTAACCCTTTCAACCGGAGTGAATCATCTCGGTTGAGAATACCCAAGTTGAGCAAAACATCAACTCTTTCAACCAGAGTGAATCATCTCGGTTGAGAATACCCAAGTTAAGCAAAACATCAACTCTTTCAACCAGAGTGAATCATCTTGGTTGAGAATCTCAAAACTCAAAACAACATTAAAAATGCTGAGGCAAAGCTGAGTCGCTTCTATATATTGACAAAAATGAATATTACATGAAGTGTAAGGCAAAAATTTCTTTTGCACAAAAAGAAAGCTAAAGCTAGAAATAACATAGCTTGAGGTTGGCTGCATTCCATGGCCGGGGTATTCCTCTACCATCCAAGTCCTCTAGGTGATATGCCCTCTTGCCTGCCAGACCGGTTATCTTGTAGGGTTCTTCCCAATTTGCCCCTAGTTTGCCTTCACCTGGCACCAGGGTATTGCCCATGACTTTCCTCAAGACCCAATCACCTACTTTAAAGGGTCTGGGGTGCACCGTTTTGTTGTATTTCCTTGAGAGCTCTTGTTGGTAGGCGGCCACATGGATGAGGGCCTTCTCCCGATGCTCGTCCACTAGCTCCAGCTCCAAGGCAATAGCCTCGGCGTTTAGTTCGGGCTCAAAACTCTCGCTTCTTAGGGTGGGCATGCCAACTTCCAAAGGTATGACCGCCTCCATGCCATAAGCCAAAGCAAATGGAGTTTCCCCGGTAGACTGCCGCGGGGTTGTTCGGTATGCCCAAAGGACGCTGGGTAATTCCTCAGCCCATTTTCCCTTTGCCTTCTCCAGCCGTTTCTTCAACCCATCCAGAATAGTCCTGTTCGATGCCTCGGCTTGACCATTGGACTGCGGGTAAGCCGGAGTGGAGTTGTAGAATTCAATCTTCAAATCTTCACAAAATCCTCGGAACAGGCGACCGTCAAACTGGGTGCCGTTGTCAGAGATCAAGATCTTGGGGACGCCAAACCGTGTGACCACGTTCTGCCAGACAAACCGCTTTACGTCTTTCTCTTTGATTGTTGCCAAGGGCTCAGCTTCGACCCATTTCGTGAAGTAATCTGTGGCCGCAATGAAGAATTTTCGATTGCCTGATGCTGTTGGCAGTGACCCCACTATATCTAGCCCCCACATGGCGAAGGGCCAAGGACTGGTGAGGGGGAGAAGTTCCCTAGCAGGCTGATGGATCTGATGGGCAAATTTCTAGCATTTTTCGCATTTGCGAACGTACTTTTGTGCATCGGCCTGCATGCACAGCCACCAGTATCCCTGTGAAATAGCTCGGTAGGCCAAGGACCTGCCCCCTATGTGGCTGCCACAAATGGCTTTGTGAATTTCGTACAAGAAGGCCTCCACACTACTCGGGTGCACGCACTTTAGATAAGGACCGGTGAAGGACTTTTTATACAACGCACCAGATGGAGAGAGCCAAAACCGCTCTGACTTCACCCGGACTTTGTGTGCTTCTTTCTTATCAGTTGGTAGAGTCCGGTCTCTGAGGAACAAGATTAAGGGGTCCATCCAAGAAGGACCTAGCGCGGCGCAGAGAACATCCGACTGCCCGGCGTCTTCAATGCTTGGCCGTGGAAGAAAGTCAATTAACAGGGGGTTTGGAGACGTACAATCTACCATGGAAGCGAGGCCGGCCAGCTCATCAGCTCGGCTATTTTCTTCACGGCCAATCTGTTGGACTCTGATTGCCTGAAACTGCTTAAGGTGTTCCCTCACCAGAGCTTGGTACTTCGCCATCCGGTCGTCCTTTGCTTCGTAAATCCCAGAGACTTGGTTAACCACAAGCTGGGAATCACTGTACACAAGTAGCTCGGCGGCCTTCATTTGAATAGTGCTCTTGAGCCCGGCGAGAAGGGCCTCGCACTCAGCCTCGTTATTAGATGCGGGGAAGCCAAGCGTGATAGAATGTTCAATGGTTAGGCCATCCGGGGAGATAAGAACGATACCTAGGCCGGCACCATGACGGTTGGACGCTCCATCAACAAAAAGCTTCCACATTTCCCCCACAAAAAGCTTCTAGCAGTCTGATGGGTCTTGAGAGTTGCGAAGGGCAATGGGATCACGGTTTCTTGGCTGTCTGGGTTCAAGTTCTGTGTTGATTGGTTCCACTCCAGCCCCCCTTGGTGATTCGGCACCGGACTCAGCAAGTCGGTCTGTAATGCTCAAGTCCGTAGGCGAATCATCAGGTTGCAGTGCTATGCCGGCCGCAGGTTCGGAGCTGTGAGGTTCCATTTCTTCCCCCCTTGGTGATGCGGGACCGGACAGAACAGATGGGTCGGTGATACTCAACTCCGTCATCGCATCACCGGGTGGTAAAACCGTGCAAACTGAGGGCGCGTCGTCGGTGCGCGCAAACTCCGCGTCGCTACCTCCACCAACTGGTTGTATCTCGGATGATCTTGCGTGCATCTCATCATCTGCCACGGTAATATCGACCGGGCATACCGGATGAGTGCCAGGTGAGAACTCGGCGACGAAGTCCGCCAAAGTCTGGGCTTTGATTGCAGTGCGCGGCTGGAACTTCACATCAAACTGTCCCAACTTGACCGCCCACTTAAGAATTCGGCCTGAAAAGTCCGCCCGTTCAAACAAGGCCTTGAGGGGAAACTCAGTTAGTACGACAATGGTATGGGCGTGAAAATAATGCGCCAACTTCCTTGAAGCCATCATTAATGCCAACGCAAGCTTTTCCAGCGGCAAGTACCTCGTCTCAGCCGGCAGCAAAGTCTTATTAACATAAAAAATTGGGAGGTGCTTGATTCCTTCAGCGCGGACTAGCACCGCACTGACTGCGTGCTGGGAGACGGTGAGGTAAAGGTAGAGCTCCTCACCCGGCTTTGGTGTAACCAACAGTGGCGGAGAAGACAGATATTCCTTGAGCTCGGCCAAAGCTCGGTCACACTCTTCGTCCCACGAGAACTTTGACTTCAACGCTTGAAAGAAAGGGCGGCAGCGATCCGATGACCGACTTATAAACCGATTAAGCGCGGTGGCCATCCCGGCCAGATGCTGCACGTCCTTAGCCGAGCAGGGCTGCTTCAACTCTTGCACGGCTCTGATCTGAGTAGGGTCTGCTTCGATACCTCGATTCGTGACTAAGAATCTCAAAAAAATTTTGGATCCCACGCCAAAGGCACACTTTGTTGCATTCAAGTGCAGCTGGTGCTTCTTTAAAATGGCAAACATCTCGGCTAAGTCGGACAAATGGTTTGCCTCATGTCGGCTCTTTACCACCATATCATCGATGAAAGCCTCCATTGTACGGCCGAGCAAAGGAGCAAGCATTTTGGTCACCATCCTCTGAAAGGTTGCCCCGGCGTTCTTCAAGCCAAAAGGCATAACTCGGTAGCAGAAGAGTCCCCTTGGAGTCGTGAAAGAGGTGATATCTCGGTCAGGCCCATGCATGGCGATCTGATGGTAGCCGCGGTAGGCATCCAAGAAACTGAGCCTATTATGTCCAGCCGTCAAGTCCACAAGCTGGTCAATTCGCGGCAAAGGGAAGCTATCTTTGGGACAAGCTCGGTTGACTGTCTTATAGTCGACACAAACTCGCCACTTTCCATTCTTCTTGGGCACCACTACTGTGTTGGAAATCCACTGAGGGTAGTGCACTTCTTGAATTGCTCGTGCCTCAAGCAGGTTCTTCACCTCCTCTGCAACTACCTCGGCGTGATGCAGTGCCGACCTCCTTGTTCGATGGATGACTGGCTTTGCTCCAGGGAAGACATTGAGGTGATGGCAGATAAAACTTGGATCGAGGCCTGGCATGTCGTAAGGCGACCACGCGAAGACTTCGATGTTGGCTATCAAAAACTCAACCATCTCGGTCCTCTCTATGGCCGTGAGACTTGAGCCGAGCAAGAAGAACTTGTCCGGCTGTTTGTATTAATTCGCACCTCAACCAATTCCTCAACAGCCTTGTCTTCGGCCTCGGTGCCCACATCATCCAAGACACCCTGGTCCTCCGGTCCCTCGATCATTTGAACGAATCCTTTGGCAGCCCGGCTTCCGTTGACCGCCACGAAGCACTGCTTGGACATGACCTGATCGCCCCAAATCTCCTCGATTGCCCCCATAGCCGTGGGGAATCTCATCACCTGGTGGTAGGTTGACGCTACAGCTTGCATAGCGTGAAGCCATCCCCTTCCAAGGATTAGGTTGTACGTCGAAGGCACTTGTAGCACCAAAAACTCCACTTGCTTGACCACGGATCCCGCTTTGACCGGCAGGATTATCTTTCCCAAGGGCCACTCCAACTGCGAGTTGAAACCAACTAGTGGCGAAGTTGCCAGAGCCAAGTCTGTCTCCTAGAGTTTGAGCTGCTTGAATGCATCATAATACATGATCTTGACCAAGCTTCCCTGATCGATCAAGATCCGTTTAACATCAAATTCCTTGACGCGCAGTGTTACTACTAGGGCATCGTTGTGCGGCGTCTGGATACGCTCTAGATCCTTTGAGGTGAAACTAATCACGTCTTTTTCTTCAGTCTTCCCCCTTTTGATGGCAGGCTGTACCGACAAAACTTCCCTCATATGTTCTGCCTTTTTTATCATGCCCCGGAGTTCGCAAACACGCTCCGGTTCAAC